GATTTCTTGAACTCGGTTGTCCCGGTGCGCGTCAAGAAGTCCTCGGAACTAATCTCGCAAGATTCACATACCGCCAAAAAGTCGTTCAAATTCACATTCTCCGTCGAGTTGATCCCCATCTGCAAGGACGACCTTGTAGCCCTCCCGATATCTCTCGCTAAACAGTGCGGTAACATATCACCAATCGTGCTGTGTCACCGCATAGGCACTTCAGTCTACTTATTAGATCCCAACACACTCCAGACAGCAGACGTCAGTGCGCCAGTGTACTGGAGAGCACCATTCACCTCACTTCTGGAAGCACGTGACTTGGTCGAGTTCATCGTAATGGATTCGGAACCCATGGGCCCTACTAAAGGAAAATACTCACTAGCAGAGGTCCAGGTGGCTAGGGCTGCCGATCTGGGCGTTAACGACAAGACATACTTTGCACGCACACATATGGGTGGCCTCTTACATGCAGGCGACTCGGTGATGGGGTACATGCTGTCCGGCACGATATTCAACAACCCTCAGTTCGAAGCGATTGAGCAATCTAACACATACTCCTCACGAATACCTGATGTGGTCCTCGTCAGGAAACACTACGCGAACCGCAAGAAGAACCGCAAGAGACAGTGGAAGGTCAAGCGTATGGCCAAGGACGAAGGCGAGTTGCTGCCGAAGAAGGCCGACCAAGAGCGCATGGATCGCGAGTTCGAGCAGTTCTTGCAGGAGATTGAGGAGGACGAAGAGTTCAGATCAGGTGTTGCATTGTACAAGGACCCTAAGAGGACAACACAGCCGGACGAGATGTCTATGGCGACGGACGATGACGGAGTTGACGATGCGCCGCAGGTCAACATGGATGAGTTGCTGGATGATTTCGATGAGCTCAATATGGATGATAATGAATAGTTTACGGAGATACGCTAGAATCATATCACCATGGCGTGCTGCCGCTGCCAGTCATTTCACCCCCGCGCAGCGCGCAGGTGCTTCGACAATCGTAAAAACCCAGTGCCAATTATCTCACCACACTTGAAGGCAACACCAGGATTACATCGTGAATCGCCTTAAAGTGGGAGAGGGGGTATCATTGATGTCCAAAACACTAGAACAACTGACTAAGCACCCGCTTTGCAGCCTCGGGCGCTTTACTGGAATCTTTCTTGCCAACAGCGGACTGCGTGAACTTCCTCAGGCTTTTATCTTCCCGCACTATCGCATCAGCATCCTCCGTCTTGGCCATTTTGGCCGCGGCTTTAGTCTGAATACCCTCCAGCTCCTTCGCCTTCTGTATATTCCTCACAAAATCCTTGTTCTCCCTCGTGGCTTTACTAATCTCGGCGCGCATGCGAGTCTGGCGTTCGGCGTTCTCGGCGGAGATCTGTTCGGTGAGGTTGTGCCATTTGAAACCCTTGAGGTAGCGTAGAGACCAGATATCGTCACGGTAGTAGCTCCCCTTTTTCGCGACGCCGATGGCGGCCAGCGTCGTGCCGTTGAGTGCGTCGACGGCGGCTTTGGCGTCGGCCTTTTTGAGGAATTCTAACCAGCCTTCGCTGAAGTTCTTCTTCCTGTTCTGTCCTTGTTTGATGCGTCGCGCGCGCACTGCTGGGTCTTCGACTGCGAGGTAGACTCTGTTGATTTTGCCGAAGCGCTCGAATATCGTTCGGACGGCGGTTGGCTTCACTGGAGGCTGTGTTAGTGGCTGTGGTGCCTTGAGGCGCTGTTGTCGCTGGTGAGTTGCTGGTGTCTTACTGAAGGGCGGTATGCGAGAGACGTAGACCACACCGCTTCTTTTCACGGCCTTTTCTGTTGCTACGAGGTTCTTCTTGGTCAGTGGCCGTGATATGTCTTGTAGTGTCGTTTCGGCAATCTCTTCATCCTCGTCTTCCTCGTCTTGATTCTGATTTATCGTGGGGGCATTCTTTCTATTGCCACCAGTTGGTTCGTCGTCAATGAAACCGTCCTCTTCGCCAGAGTCGGTTGGGTGGTCAAGCTTGGGGCGCTTAGAACTGCCCTTCCGCAGCTGGTCGACTTCGGAATCGTAGCCTTGGCTGCCATCGTCGTCGCTCTCGTCGGCATCCAGGAAGTGGTTCCTCTTCTCGGCAGGCATTGTGTAGGCTCCGAAGCTCCAGGGCAAATCAGCCAGCGCTAGAGAATGTAGTCTGGGGTGGCGACGAGCAGCCCGTTTAGCCGTTTGCCGGTTGTCGTGTCTGATGATGTGTAAAATACCTGTAGGTCGATAGTGTCCAAGAGCGAAGCGCCGATAAGAAAAGATGATGGGGCTGATAAGGGGCAGACTATTATGCCTTTTGAGCCTAGACCCCGGCCGTTGGCATGAAGTTCAGGTGGGGTGAGGAACCACTGTGCTGGAGCTGGTTGCCCCTCCATCAGAGACAGAATGCCCCTCCGACCTCGAGGCGGACCGTGACGTATTATTCGGACTGTAAATGAGACGCATTGCCGTTGTCGCATATTCTTTGTTTCGAGACAACTGTTTTGCTTCAGGTTTCTTCGAGCCCAGGCAGTTCCTAGTCCTGTAATTTTGAGCTCAAGTAAACCTGCTTTATCTCTGGCCATTGCACAAAACAGAAAGACTTCAAAATGTCGGTAGAAACGATTACCACGATATCCCCTACCACAAACGAACCCATCCTGACGCGACATGGGGCCAGCGCCGAGGAGCTCCAGGAGCTTCCCAAGGTCGCTGAGGATGCATTTCGGAGTTGGCGCCAGACTGCATTGGCTGACCGGATCATCATTGTCAAGAAAGCTATGAAGCTTCTCGAGGCTCAGAAAGACCAACTGGCCGAGGAGCTCACGGTTCAGATGGGACGTCCCATAGCTTACACAGGCGTTGAGGGTAATTCGGCATAACATGTGCTACCACATCTGGCTTGGCCGAGCTGACTATGTCACTAGTGACCACTGCGATTAAGCGTGTCGACTACCTTCTGAAAATTGCTGAAGAGACTTTGAAAGACACAGAGGGTGAGGCCGAGAAGGGCTTCAAGCGCTTCATTCGCAAAGTCCCCGTTGGTCCCGTCTTGGTCATCTTCGCGTGGAATGTAAGGTGTACTCGGGACTTATTCAAATACGATCTTGATCTGATAATCCTTGATTTAGTATCCTTACCTTATTCTCGTCAACTCACTCATTCCTGCCCTCTTGGCAGGCAACACTGTCATTCTAAAGCCTTCGCCTCAGACTCCCACCATTGTTGAGCATATTTCTAAAATTTTCACAGAGGCTGGTCTTCCTGCAGGTGTTTTGCAGTACTTCCATTGCGGCTCGCCTCTGATGATGGAGTCCATAGTGCGGGACCCGAGGATCTCTCTCGTCTGTTTTACTGGTTCCGTCGCCGGTGGCTTAGCTGTTCAGAAAGCTGCTTCGGACCGCATTGTCAACGTTGGTTTAGAGCTTGGTGGCAAAGATCCCGCCTACATCAGAGACGATGTTGATCTAGATTGGGCAGCTGCAGAGATTATCGATGGCTCTATCTTCAACTCCGGCCAAAGCTGCTGCGCTCTCGAGAGAATCTACGTGAACGAGAAAATATACATTCCCTTCATTGAGGCAGCACAGAAAGTTCTCAAGGACTACCGTGTCGGCGATCCCCTCGATAAGGATACCCAGATTGGTCCCGTCGTTTCGAGGCGATCCAAGGAGACGATCGAGGCTCATATCAAGGACGCTCTGGACAAAGGCGCCAAGGATGCCACGCCGGAAAACCCCACATTTAGCACCCTTCCCGTAAAGGGTAACTTCGTCAAACCAACACTCTTGGTTGGCACCGACCACAGCATGACCGTCATGACGGAAGAAACTTTTGGACCTGTCATCTCGGTAATGAAGGTGAAGGACGGCGCCGAGGCAATCGGATTGATGAATGACAGCGAGTTTGGCTTGACTGCCAGCATCTGGACGAAAGATACGGACAAGGGATATAAGCTCGCACAGCAAGTCGAAGCTGGAACCGTGTTTGTTAATCGTGCCGACTTCCCTAGCCCCGTAAGTCTACCTCCACCCCCCTGACCGGCTTAACCTACCCTGACACGTGTGACTGACAATCAATCTAAAGGATCTCGCTTGGACTGGCTGGAAAAACTCTGGCAAAGGCGTCACTTTAAGCAAGTTTGGTTTTGACCAATTCGTCAAGCTGAAGAGCTACCATCTCAAGGACTATCCAAAATGATTAAGGACTAGGCACTGAGATTTGAATTGGAGTTTGGTCAATCGAAGCATCAACAAAATATCAGCCTGGACCAATATGATGAGACTTGTCGGAGACCACGAGGATCTGTTACTACAAGCATATAGCTATAACTTCTCAAACTGATCTCCCACTCTTCCGCGCGAAGACGGCCAGTCCAGAGTCGAAAATCAACTCTACAATAATGGAAGAGAATCGTGGTTAACATGCTTCTGCTTGACATATTACGAAACCTTAGCAGAGAAATTCATGCTGCAAAGGTTTGATTCAATACCCGGATCGTTTCTATAACCTGTTCCCCTAGATTGTGAATTCTAACCCCTCTTGGTTGACTCTCACTTGATGACTACCACGACAAGGTGAGGATAAAGTAATTTCTTCAGCGGACCATGGTCAGTGACTGTCTTGAACCTTTACAATTGCCCTTTGTTGCTACTCCTGCGTCAACAACAATTCCATTAAATCCAGTCCTTGAATTTTGCCATGCCATGCCCACACCTGTTTTCTTGTAGCCGTCTACATAAAAAATTTGTTGTTTCCTTGCGAAGATTCTTGGCACTGATGTGACGCGCCTGAGCCTTTACAAGTACGGCACAGTAGATTAATATCAACAGTTGTGATGACAACAACTTATGCAATCACCTGCATAAGTTAATGTCTTACCCCTGTTTATCCTCTTAGATACATTCCTTGGCTGTAGTATTTGATCCGAAGTCTGATTTGAACCGACATCTACTACTGCGGCAAAGTAGTCCTTTACCGGCGAAGTTATTAATTCTAATGAAATGTAACCAGTATGAAATACAACCAGTCGGATTCGAACCCACAACCATTGTTTAAAGACGATCATTTTACCATTATACTATGATTGTTTATTTTATCCAATATGAAAATGATATGTCTTCTTCTATACACGGGCTCATTTCCTCTTGTAGATACTGATCTATGTCCTTTTGATTGTTTTCTGTACACTACCGCCCTTGCGCCTCTGGGATGTGCCCAAAGCCTTTGTTGGCATCTTTAGTATGTATTCAACCAGTGTTTATAACATATTCTTGTTTTTATGTGCACATATATCCGCCTGGACCTACTGCAACTACTCGCATGTCTTCTCCTTCATCTATTTGTCTGCTAACTTCCCTCTCTTATTGTCGGTGTACCCCCGTGGATATCTATTTGGTTTTGTTGCTAACTGTGAATTTGGATGCGATCCCAACACTGCCCAAACATTGAATAGCAGCATGGTCGGGAGCCAAATTTAAATTTACCATGGCCTTGAAGGACCACTTCGTCTTACCATGAATGGGACTCTTGAACAACTCGCTGCTGATATTCCTGATATCCAAAGAAACCGTCTACGACATTTAGAACAGATCAAGTACTTTTTATCACGTACAAAGCCCAATGAACACTCTCGCATAGACCTCATGCATCACATGTTGTGCTTCGTCCATGTCTTGTTGCTGCATAACTGTCCATGGCTGTTGTCTTTGAGCAGGCGCTCAACCTCGTCGGCGCTCCAACATCGACCACTCCTTCTCGTTCTAAGAAATTGTCGTGCCGAGCCCAGAACCTATTGTTGTTGGTGCCATGTCTACAGCGCACAGCCACGCAGCCGCAGACGTACCCTCGAGGGTCTGTTCGTCAGTACCTTCTCCTTTGTTTCTACCATGTGACGGGCTACTGCTGAAAATGCTTAAGCACCACAGGTCCATTGTTGACACCCTCCTGCTCTGTTTTCCTTCCACCCCTCCCAGGCACTCATCTTCCCACGCCTCTTCCATCACTCTCTGGGCAAACATCACGCCTCCACGCAGATACAGATCATCTAGCCGATCCCACTGCTTCTATACACTGCCCCAATACATCACTCGTCACTATTCCATTCTAGCACCATGCCCAAGATGTCTCTCGCCTACGTGGTCCTCGTCTGTCTGAGCTGCTGTGACGGCCGCGACACCGACTCCACCATCACCGCAGACTCGATCGTAAGTTCTAGCGCCTCACTTTTGCTTACTCTAACCTCTTAAACACAAGATTATTGACTGGACGATTCTTACATTTTGTAGGGCCGCCCGTACAACCTTAAGAAGAAGAAAATCGACTTCTCGCACAAGAAACCACTGAAGTTAGTATATTCAGTTATTTCCTACCCTCGAACCGACAAGTGCTCTGTTGTACTGACCACACGCTCCCATTCACAGCATCACGAATCTCACCCCCAGTGAGCGCGAGGCTGTAATCAAATTCAACATCCCGATTGAAGGCGACGAGTTGATCACGTTCGTGCGCACTGTCAGCCCCGAGCCTCCCCAGCTCCCCTGCCTCGCCTATGTCGACGCCGTAAGTTCTATGTTTCGATAAACTCAATATTTCTGAATGGCTATCGCTTTGCTTGAGCGTTTCCCTTGATTTTTAACGTTGTTGTGTTGTAGTCGGACGAGAGCTTCGAGCTGTTTCCTGACCATGCTCTTACTTAGGAGACGCAGACTGTCGATCTCCCGAAAGACTCTCGTCTTTGATCTCATCTCAGCAAGCCTATAGCACGGCCTCCCTCGGCTTCTTGTTACGGCTGTTCTCCTTCCCACATATGCCTACGAAGACTCCTGGATCGACCTGTCAGCTTCTCGCATCAGGATCGCATACGGTGCTTCCCGATGGTTGCGTGGACGTTACGCGTCTTGATTTTTTGTGTTTTGATGCATTGGGAGAGTAATGGTATGGATGATGTGGTCAGGTTCAGGACCGGATGAGAGATGTGACAGCACTTGTTCCCGCTGTTGGCAGTTACGCCTTCTTGTGTCCATACGGACGTATGAATCATACAGACATTGCGCACTGATAACTTTCAGATAATAATGACCGTGACTGTACAATTGATCATCAATAAAAGATGCTTAATCGACGACATCCCTTGCAAGACTGTAGACATCACCAGTGACTGCTTGACCAGGTGAGGGTAGATTGCGAACGAATTGAGGTACTCTGCGTCTATCCCCCTGACACTGCTGATATCTATTCCCAGATCCGAGTTTATGTTAGAAAAAAACTTCTTTCCCGAGCAAAAACTAATCTCAATCGCGAATCAGAGCCGTCTTATCAACCTTCGAAGGATCGCACCCGCCATCAGGCTTTCTGAAGTAATCCCAAATATTGGGGTACTCGCTGTACCAGCACGAACAAGAGTTCTGAACATCACTGTGGTCGCCCGGCAGTCCAGTCGTATTCGTGTCTCTGCACGCGAAGTCCCCCCTTGGACCGAACCAGTGTTCCCATGGATCACCATCGTCAGCCGAACGAGCGGTAATAGCGTATATTCGACAGTAGTCATGAAGAAACCCGCCTCTCTTCGCAGTCGTTGTCGTTTTTTGGCAATCGTCCAGCACAGAATTGAAACGGTCGACGCAGTTATTCAATCGCTCATTCTCAGAAGATCCAATCGTTGGCTGGAAGCCGCTAATGCACGCTCCATTCGGCTCTCTGTCGTAGAACAGACCTATGTACAGCCTGTTCGAAGTCCCTGGAATATCGTATGCGTTCTTCATTCCCTCCATCTTCGCTTGACCGCCTGGAGTTAGTCCTGACCCGTATGAAACCGGAGCAACTCTGGTAGATAAAAAGGTGCTGCGTTAGTTATTTTTCTCGAGTTTGCCCTGCGGGTCCCTGGACTTTAAAACCAAGGACTAATTTTTGATATATGACAGGTCAGATATCACTTACTATAGAGAAGTCAGTATATCTTACGAAGGTAGTTCCAAATAACTCGCATGGGATCTTTCTATACTTGCCAGCAAATAGTCCCACCACCAACCATAACCGGCCTGGCAGAACTGTTTTATCCAGTCGCGCTGCACATCAGTTGATGGGAAAGGCTCGCCTTCGTTATCATGACAATCTGGCGTGAAAGCTTTGATCTCGCGAGAAAGGACAGCAGCCGTAGCGGCTAGAACACAAGCCCCAAGACTTGAGAAAAGACGGTACATATTTCCCTCAGGATTGGATTTTGCGAGTACGAGTATAATTATCATGGAGTCGTGGTTCTTGCTGACATAGACCGGGAATACCAGACCGAGTCAAAACTACGAGGCTATTTCTACCCCAAGATCCGATTACCTCAGATCCTAGTAGGAGTCACCGGCCCCGTGAGCTATGCGTAGCCGTGTTTGTGCTATCTCGCACTCTGTTTTACGTACGGTGCTACCCGTGGCATCACGACATTCGGAAGATTGCCACACCTTGACGACTTGTAAGACGGCTTCGCACGAACGTGGACCTACCAACTCACGGCACGAGACAATACCATTAATCTGAGGGTGGTCTTGTAGAACTGCCCATAGTTTGTTTCCCGGATTCGATTCTCTGCGTCTGGCATGAAGTCAGACAGACACCTGTCTGTCTGTGATGGTGTCACCTCCGCACGTGGGCGAAAACAATGACACGATGGTTCCTCACCTTTTGACATATTATCACCTACGTATCACATAAAACTCCTCAATTGGGATCATGGGCACTGGCCTGGCCACTGTACCGCAGCCATCAGGTGCTGAGGTGACAATCCGAAAATTTACTCGGGAAAACCGTCGAACCGCACACAACGATGACGACTGAATAGGTAACGCCAGCCAGGCTCGACAGGTAACACGCTTGAATCGCTTGACATATCCGATGTGGTCGGAGGTGGGCCATCGAAATATTTTGAGAGGCGGTGGACGTTCACGATAGTGTCAACTAAGGTCGAAAGGGCGAAACGTGACAATCGGACTGGATGAGCCAGTCATCGACCATGATATTCCAAGTTCACAAAAGACACGAAAGCCGGGACTTGCGAACGGTGAACCTGTTAACGTTGCAAAGGAAACGCATCTTCAAATTAGAAAAGACATAGCAGTCGGAACCATGATCGTGGATATATGTGATGCAAATAGAGAGGAAAGATCAATATCAAAACATGAGCCTTCTCTTGGAACAATGGGTGGAATATGTCCAGTCTCACCTATCTTGGATGATATGGGAGGGCCCGCTCTCATCCTGTTATTATCACACAATGCCAAGAATACGACAGATTTACGTCAACGTACAGGGGGGTTGATGGAGATCAGCCGCTGCGAGACTAAATGATGCGACTCAACCATTTCAGGACCTTTCTCGGCTCTGGCCCCCTGACTCGCTCAAAAGACCGCACGCGCCATTGGCCATGATGCGGCGGCGCGATTGGAAATGGTCATCGCATCAGGCTCTTCCTCCAGATTAATATTGCTCTTGAGCCCCGGACGACGACAACGCACTTTCGCTCGCTTTGGTTTGACCTTATCGTATGGTGGCTTATTGCTTAATTTTTGGGTTCCCGAAGCATCCGGTTTCCACCGTCGCTCTTTGCAATCTTCGTTGTAATTCTTCTTGTTTGGAAGCGGTTAGTCTTGGGATGCGAGTCTAATATGCATCCCAACATAACGCTCATCTTGAGCTTCTTTGGAGCTGTGAGTAACAACCATCGCTACAAGTCTCAGACGCTTCGATAGTTCCGTATCTGTCTCAAGTTCCAGCCGAATCAAGCATTGAGACTTGAGTCGCTGTGTCATCCGGTCAAAGTCAAAAGTATTAACAATATGCTGAATAGTACTTTTTGCTCTACCAATATTTCCGATCAGCATGCTACCGAGATCCGACATCGAGATTCTTCCAGCCCGAGCGTGCAAGTGCCCCAACTTATTCCACGCATCGGATACGTCAAGCGGTCGAATACGCCGACTCTGCAGGCCTAAACCTCGCCGAAACGCAGCGAAAGCCAAAGGTCGATAGTACAAACCCACCCGACTTATGTATTGGTATTCCTTCAGTGCATAGAGAAGGGATGGGATATCTCAAACCAACC